AAATTTATTTTACAAAAATGGATGATAAGAGTAAAAACATACAACTTCAATACGATGTTACAAATATAACAAACTAACACTAATTGTTTAGATTATTTAATACAATATTACAAATACTTGTATCAATACCATTAATTAAACCTTTAGGAGTAAGATGAAAATGAATATGAGGAGGGAGAGAGGTATTTGTAGACACCCAAATGTGTCTCCCCAAAAACCAAACCCAATGATGAATACTTTTCACGTTGCTTGATTATCGAACAAAGTTAAAGCGTGAAAAATCTTGTGATGCGGTTGTTTTAATAAAAATCTTTCTTTCTATTTTCGAAAATCTACTCTATTTATGAAAATAGTCAGTCTAGTTTAGTTTGGATTATGATAAGGGTCCAATAATAGTGTAGTTGAGTCGAGACGGTAAAGAGCTTTCCAATGATATATTATAAAGCAATTAGTCTAAGGTACACCCTTGTGCACCTTAGATAGGTGTAACAACATAGCCCAAAAGCCCAATTACACACAACCCAATTAAAAAAAGCCCTAAAACTAAAAAACATGAAAACTGCAATGCACCAACTCACACCCAATAAATGTAACGTCACTTCCAAACTCAAAACTCTTCTTCTATATGATTTTTTCTCTCCTCTTTTTCACTTTTTCTCTCCTCTTTTTCATTTTATCTCACTATAAAACTGCAAAAACATCAATGGACATTAGAGAAGAGACGCAAAATCAAAATGATCCTCCCTAAAAAAAGGCCATTTTATGTAAATTTCGCTTAATTTTGTTTGAATTTATATGATTATCACTTAATTTTGTTTGAATATTGTTCGATACTCTATTGTTCGAAATTTTTTATTGGAATTGTCAAAAAAAAAAAATATAGTGAAATCAAACGGATACCTTATGTTCACCTTTTGAAATGCATATGTTCATATTTTGAATTCTTATGTTCATATAATGAATACTTTTGTAAACATTCTGAAATGCATATATTCACTTTCTAAATCTATATGTTCATATTTCTTATGTATATGTTCACCTTCTGAAATGCTTAATTATGTTCATACGCATTAAAAAATTAACCAATGCATATGTTTATATTTTGAATGCATATGTTCATATTTTGAATACTTATGATGCATATGTTTCATAATCATATTTAAATTTTATTTCTTCAAATTTTTTATGTTCATAATCAAATAACTTATATTCATAATAATATTTTATATCTTCATAATATAAATATTCATAGTAAATATTTATTGTTCATAAATATTCTCATTAAGTCTGTTTATGCATATGTTCTCTTTCTTAATAGCATATGTTCATATTTTTTACGCATATTTGAAGAACCTATGCATATGTTCATATTTTGCATGATTATGTTCATTGATAAAAAAAAATGCAGAAAATCAGATGAAACACATATGAAATTGATCAAAGCTAAAAAAATCAATTCATATGAATTCAAAAAATCAGATAAACAACCAATTCCATATTGTAAGAAACAGATTCAATCGTTAAATCAAAACAAAACGAGAAAAATAGAAAAAAAAAAACAGAGGAAAAAGGAATTAAAGAAGGAAGGAGAAAAAACAGAGCATAATTTGTGAATTCAAAGATTCATATGAACCTTAATCAATTGAAATTAAAGCACATTATCGAAATTCACAAAAAAAATTCATACTTAATAACTACTTTCATGTTGTAAGAAACAAATTCAATCAAAATAGTGTAAAAAAGGGGGGAAAAACAGAGGAGAGAGAAAATAAAAAACGAAGGAGAAAAATGGAGGAGAAGAAAGCTAATGTTCACTTTCTCAAAAGCTAATGTTCATATTATGTTGTTGTTACACTTATTTCTAGGTGCATGAGTGTACACCTAAGAATATGTTATTATCAAGCTCAATTCCGATGAATAAAGAGGAAGTTGTGGTCCAAATACTAAATTGGGTTTGAAATGGTTTTATTGCCTAATAATCTAGTGAAGGGCCCATTAATTATTATTCCTAAAATTATTAGGATTGATTCTAATTTTTCTAGAATAGTTTAGAAGGTTATTTTGAATTCTAATAGAGTTAGGATTGATAATTATCTTTTTAGAAAAATCATGATTTTGGTTTGAAATAAAACAGTGTTTTATTATGATAAAATCCGATTTTTAAATTAATAAAAATGGAGTTTAATAGCTTAATTATATTAAGAAGAGGATTCCGTACAAAAGTGCATTTTATCTTTTAATTATCGCCAAATGACAGAGTCTGTCGCCATGCATGATGCTTGTCGTTTCGCGCTGGGCTCTGTCGCTGGTGACAGGGGTCAGCTTTATTCCGATTCAAATTCTGATTTTTTTTCTATCGTTTCTGAACTATTTTCTTATAAATAGGGCCGTATTTCCCCGTTTTCATTCACTCAGAATCATCAAGATTCAACCATCCTTAACTCTCTGAAGCAATAGTTTATTCTTCTCTTTTTCTAAACTTTCCCCTTTTACAAAATTCTACATTCACAAGTCCTAGACACACCTAGCCAAGTTCGAAGTTGCCTTCGCCCTACACGTGAAATGTTTATAATTTCTGAGGGTTTGGTCCCAAATCCCTATTTCAATTGTTTAAATTAATTGTTTGATTTAATATTTTCCTTGAAGTTACTAATGTGTGTATTTTGTTATTAGAAAAAGATATGAGGCATCAAAGTAAGTAATTCGATTATTTACTATCCTTTTGATATAAAAATCATGTTTATAATTTTATATTAATTCCTAGAATCATGTTTAGGGTATAAACTAATATTTCTAATATCATTTATATTTCTAGTATCATGTTATGATGCTTTTATTGCTTTCTAGTATTATGTCTAGGATGCCTCCTATTATTAACATCATGTTAGTATCATGTTAAGGATAAAGCTTTGATCTTTATTGTTTAGTGACATGCTAGGATTTGTTATTAATCTTGTTAGTATCATGCCTAGGATCTTGCTAATATTGTTATGCTTTATTGAATATTATTATTAAGATGATGATTATTTATTGTTGCTTGATATAATTATTGTTATTGCTTGATCACACTCTCTCTTGCAGGATTAAAGGGAATTTGTACTTGTAATCACACTTGATAAGATAATTAATAATCTTGTTTAGCTTAATATGATTATAATTCAAGTGACCGCCAATAATAGATTTATTTGTGCATTAATATTCAACCAACATGGATAAACAGGTTTAGGATTAACCTAATGGTTGTATGTTAATCAGAAAACGCACATGAATATGAGAAGAATAAAGTAGAAGCCTATTTTCAGGGCAGGTTCAATCTATTTTAGGTTGGATTTGTACCTTCATCCCCAATATCCAGTCATGGTTCCGAATCACTATGGAGTTAACGATCTCATGGATCGTGAAGGGGTGTAACTTTCACCATGTGAACGGTTTACAAGTTCCTAAAACTTGTTGGCGACTCTTTTGCTCTAGCTTTCTTCCCTTTGGACGCCATCATGCTTAAGTGTATGATCACAGTGTGGCTCAAATGTAGGATGCTTGAAATATTCTCTACAGTATGTGACGACTTTTATACAATTTTGATATAAGGCTTTATATTTGGGATTAAATGATAAGTTTCGGTTTCGTGTACCCTATAGAAAACATGTACTAACATGGTACCCTACAATTTCCAGGTTCAAAATTTTATTACCTGGAACCATTGCAACAAGTTCCCAATTTTATTACTCGGAACCGGAACCAAAACCATAATCAAAACCTGATCTACAGGTTTCGGTTCCAAGTCAGGTTATCCTGAATTTTTGCTCACCCCTACCTCCTATTACTAATATCATTACCTCCTATTACATATTAGGGCCTATTCTGTTTTATTAGAACAATACTGAAAACTAATTAGACAAGATCCCATGTTTGAAATCGCAGCACTTCCATTATCTTACAGTTGAATATGCACCCATAACAGACACTCATACGAGTAACATAGATTAAAGCTTTAAGATATAACACTTTAAGATATATTGTAGCCACTTGTCCAAGTTACTATAATCTGCAAAATGAACAAAACTTACACCTTATGAGACCTAGTATACATGACATAATACATCAAAATCTAGAATGATTAAACTAGAATCAATTGCATCTTACAAGTGATAAAATGTCCTAGTGATTTCTAGTTCATTACCAAAGTCACAACAAGCACCACAACATATTCGAAAGTTAACAAACTGACAAATGATGATTTGTTAGTTGTTTCAATGTATTATAGGCTTTACAGCAGATTATCACTACATGTTAGTTTGGAGTCAACAAGTCAACCAAGGTGTAATTCAAATTTTGGTACGTAGAAAAGCAAGAAAAAGTATCTACACTAGAGAGGAGGAACAGATATGCAAGGAAGAAAGAAGAAGACAAAAAAAAAGAGGAATTGGGGAGGAGAAGAGGGAAATCGAAAGAGAAAAGGAATGAAAAGGGGGGGGGGGATTAGGGCTCATTTAATGTCATGTGCCATTGGGTCAACGCCAGAGTAGCCGGTCATATATCTACTCTCCGACACTAGATGGTAAGTTGCGACATAAATTAAGAAAATGGTGGTCTTTTACATCAATTTTTTAATAAAGTCGTTCTTTGCACAAAAACAGGACTAAAAAAATGGTTATATGCAAAAGACTCTTAAATTATGCATAAATTCCCTCCATCTCAAAATAGGAGTATTATTTGTTTTCCGCACATTTTTTAACAAACATAAATTTAAAGATGTCTTCTCATCGTAGGCTCATAGCTATCTTTAGATGCTCTTATACTCGATGCACATAGTCCCTTTATCTTATAATACAAGTATCATTTGTTTTTTGTACATATTTTAACAAACATAAATTTAAAGATGTCTTCTCATGGTAGCTATCTTTAAATTATGCATAAATTCCATCAATCTCAAAATATAACTTACACATATTTTTACAAACATAAATTTTAAAAAAGAAAGGGAAGTTAGAAGCAGGAAAGAATGTGAAAATTATATGTTTCAAAAGGAAAATGTTGTCTATCCTTTACAACGTCAACTACTAGAAAATGAAATTTAAGGATTTATGTCATCATGCAACGATATCAAGTTACATTCCAAAAAGAATAAGTAGCCAGCCAAAAAATCCCAACACATCATAGTATCTCTTACAAATTTCTGAATTTCTTTCTAACTGATCTATGACAAACCCTACAAAATGCTGCCTAGATGTTAGCAAACCGCATCACAACATCTTGGGCATAGAATATGCTATAAGCCTATAAACATCATTCATGATGATGCTACTTCAGTAACCCAGATTGTTAATCAGGGGAGAGACCAAAGAATAAGAACAGTAAATGAAAAACTTTACAAAAAATAAGCTATAATGAGAAACTGGTTTAAGCTATGCTGAAACAAGACCCACATAACCTGCTAGAACTGCCAAGAAGGCTGATATGAAGTATGCACCAGTGACAATCGATGGTTCTTTCATTCCGCATAATTCAAGGTAGTGATGCAAAGGAGGAACTTGAAAAAAACTACGTGCTTTCCCCTGTAAGCCCTCAGTCGTCCTGAAAGGAAATATCTGAAACTCAATATCAGTCAGAGATCTTGCCAAAGCTCCTTGTATTGCCTGGCAATTAAGCTCCTATAGAATAAACAACACACACACACACACAGATACACACACACATTAAAAGTTGATGCCTGACACCTAAATGTTTCATAATCATCACCATTTACAAAGCACTAAACATATAAGTTAAAGATGAGAGACTACGATGCCAATTGAGATGGAATAATTGAAGCAATTTCTTCAAGTATAAAGAACTTGCTTAAGCTTTGCGTTTATAAACCTATTGAACATGCACAACAATAATCCAATATGGATTTGGAGAGATTCAAATTGTTCGGATTAGTGAAAACAAAATCAAGAACGATGAACTAGATAATATGAACATATCAAGGTATGTAAATAAAGAGACAATACAATGTAGTATTGACAACGAACAACAAAAATACAAAGCTTTATGTAATTCATTTACAATGTGTTAGATTGTTAGCTACATTCACAAGTATGTGAGATGAAGTTTTATTTTCCATATCTAGGTTAAAGCTTAAGGAGTCATATAATATTCCCAAATCGAGAACATAATAAGCCCAAACACAAAACACAATCACAATACAACGTAAAACCACGGGGATCATCCGTAGGGGTAAACATATTCAAGGCATATTCACGAATTATAAAACTTGATTTTTACGTTTGGCAATATACAACTTTAATAATAAATATAACAGACTACTAATTTATAAAAATTGTTATTTTGATGGTCAACATTGATACTAATCTAACAAGATTTTGCATGATAACATATTCTTATCATATACATTAGTGTGGTAAAAGTTAGTTTTAGAATAGTTCAAAGTCTTTTATTATCTTAATTTACTTTTCTATTAGTTTTTTATAAAACTAAGAAGGGAAGTGGAATCCTAAAAAAAAGAAAAGTTGCATACAAGAAGACTTCACAAAACTACATCTAATATCAAATAGGCTCATGGAAAATAGGCTCATGGCTGTGTGGTTTATAACTTTGTATGACTTGTACTTTGTTGCACTTCTCATATAAAGTCTACGAAACTTCATGTAACACAATTGCAACCCTCCTTGTTCCTTGGCCCTAATCTCATGTTAGACTTTTCGACTTGCTATATTTAACACATATACACAAAATATAAACTTTATTCATCTAGACTAATACTTCCTTCCTTTTCCTAAGTGTTGCTCACTTTCCATTCTCATATGTTTTTCTAAGTTCTACTCACTTTTACTTTATTCCCATTATGACAACCTTTATTTATTTTTATTCATATAAAACCCCACTTTGTGGGGTCCAATTATATTTAATAAAACTCATATTCTTTATCTCTCCTCTAAAAACAGTAACCACATGCATGGTCCCCCATTTCTACTTTTTCTTGGTTTACGTAGCTACAGTTGTAGTAAGACTTGGGAAAACGAAGGGAGCCGAAAGAAAGTTACCAAAATGCATCATCATCAAACATGAGACAATGAAAAACAAGCAGAAAATCAATGACATCTGATATGTGAATTTTTTTTTTTTACCAATAGATATTAGGAAATTTTGTCAAAAACCTCCTTTTAAAAGCATGTTTTTGTGAAAAACCTCCTTATAAATTTTTTTTTTTGTAAAATCATACCTTAACAAATTTTTTTTTTTACAAAATCATACCTTTTGACGAAAAACGGGGTTTGATCCCGTTTTCAGGCGTTGACCACCCACGTGCATATCACGTGTGCAACGGAAACCACCCAGACCCACCACCAGAGTCCACCACCATCTAGGGTTCCCTGTTCCCCCCGCCGGTGACGCTACCCCTGCCCCAACCCCACCGTCAGTGACCGTCACCCAGAACCCCAAAACCCGTCGACAACCCTCCCTCTCCTTCCTCTTCCCACCGCAACCAGAACCCTCCTAACCCGGTGGCTATCTCCGCGCAACCACATCACCATCAAGCCTTCACTATTTCTCACCATCTGCTCCACCGCACCACCTATCTCCGCGCAAGCACAACAACATCAATCCCCAGTAGCCTCCCATCTCCACCGCTGCAACACCACGCCAATTGCAACCCCAATTCGACCCCTCAATTAAGCCCCAAAATCAGAGATTCGACCCCTCAATTAAGTCCCAAAATATTGTCCTCCTCCAAAAATTATATTCTTGTTGTTATCCGAGGAAGCGTCGCCGGCGGTCAGAGCCTAGGGTATTGTCGCCGGAAAGGGAGTGGTTGGGCAGGTTAGGGTAGGCGAGTTGCGAGGGTCTGATGTGGTGGTGCGTGCGGTATTCGATTCCGCTGTTGTTGTTGGTGTCGATTGGTGGGGTTGTTGTTGTTTGCGTGGGTGTTGTGGGGGTGGGCGGGGTGGTTGGTCTTTGGTGGTGGGTTAATTTTGGGAAAACTTTGGGATTGGGTGGTTTTCCGTTGAACTTGTAGGTGGTTAACGCCTGAAAACGGGGTCAAACCCCATTTTCCGTCAAAAGGTATGATTTTGTAAAAAAAAAATTGATTAAGGTATGATTTCGCAAAATAAAAAAAATTATAAGGAGGTTTTTAACAAAAGAATGCTTTTAAAAGGAGGTTTTTGACAAAATTTCCTAGATATTACTTCATTCCTAAGATTGCAACGTTTGCACTTTTAAACTATTCACACACTTTTCTTTAATCACATATCCTGAGTCATGCGTAAGGAAAAATATGGTCATGTGGAGCCTTGATAGATTCGTATACATATATAGTTGCACAATATCAACTTTTGGTATTGTAACCATTGTTAAAATAAAGGTAAGGTTTAAATTTTGCTTTGTGAAGTGTAATCCCTTCCATATGAAATTATCCAAGCAATGATGGATTTTACAAGAAATATCACTCATCCTCCAATGTGTAGCCATAAGAATTTTGTAAGAACCTTACCCATAACCTATTATTTTAGTAAATATCATTTTGAAGAATTTAACAAACTAGAAAGGAGGTCAAATTTAGGTAATCCATGAAGATGTTCTAATAATATAAGGAATTTCTTTTTTCAAATTCTTTGCTTTGCCAAAAGTTAAGGTGGTAATGACCTATTTATAATCTATAAAAATGTAAACAAAAAACATATTCCTAATAACTATATACTCCATTTTTATTTTATTTTTTAGTGCATCACGGTAGAAAAGTTTTAGGAGGGTGAGTTGAATAGAATAAACAGAAATTTGTTGGGAATTAGAAATTACAAGAAAGACAATGGGTTAATAATATTCCAAGGAGTGAGGAAATAAGTCAGGACCATGATAGGAGAAAAATGAAAAAAAAAAAATTAATACTCCCTCCGTCCCTTAATGACAGTCCCTTTCGGTGAAATTTAACATGAATTAAGAAACTTAAATATGAAGAAATAAAAGTACATTAAATTTACACGGGATATGCAAAAAAGTAGAGAGAGAAAGTATAAAAGTAATACGGAAATGCAAAGTTTATATGGGGAAGCTAAATTTGTACAAATATAATGCAAATTGAAGGGAGTTTTGGTAAATAAAAAAATAATATTAATGGTTGTTGGAAAAAACAAATGGGGTGAACATTTTAAAACTAAAATTTGGTCAAAAGAAACTATCATTAAGGGACGGAGTGAGTCCAAGGAAGTGATGCACTTAATTTTTTTTATCTTTTTTTCCATGAGTATTATTTTAACCATTCGCAAAATTTATACGAAACACTCCAACTATTTCAAATCAATAGTCAAGCAAAACCTATTTGATCGAGAGCTAATTTAAAATTGACATGCAATTACATTTTCCACAATAACCTTATAAGGAGATAAACAAAACAACACATCCAAAGGAGGCATTAAATGAAATAATGAAACATAGCCTACATACGACTTAAGGAATATTTTTGCCTTCAGTCACCATATTAATCTGAATCCTTTGCCTATTTAAAATCTCACTCTACATTTAGTTATTTAGTTATTCGCCATCCAAATGAAAAAAATTATGTTCAAATCTTTCCTGGAAAAATCACCATGAGATTTTTTTCTTGTTCCAAGACTTACAACTACATACACATTTTCTATATTTTTTTGGTCCAACAGATGGCTATAAACTATAATAAAGAAAGAGAGTGACTTTGACCCTTTTCCAAATCAGTTTCCAATTCTGCTTCAATCATCGCTGGTACAGTGCAACAAAACTTTTGTCCTCTTGTTGAGAGAGAGAGAGGGGGGGGGGGGGGTGTGGAGGGTGGCGAGATACATTAAAATCATGCATTAAGAGCATCAATATCCGGCAACAGAATAATGGCTCAAGGATGTTCAAATGACAATTGACCAACGAATCTTAGTACTCACCAACCATTGAAAACAACCACTTTCTACCCTATCCATGGTTTGCTATAATCATTTGATAACATAAATAAACACCGTACACTGAGTTTGTGTGATAATGATAGGCCATAAACACATGAATAATCAAGTACAACATTCAGATCCAACAGACATTTAATCGGAAGAATGAAAAACAAAGAAAAAGAAAAAGAAAGGGGAAGGAAGTGCCTGAAGAGCCTCAGTATGATATGATTATAGGTGCAGATTTTAAATATTTTTTCAGCTTACATTATTATGTCAGAAGCACAGACATAAATGATAAAAGTCTGCCAAAGAATAAGAAGATTAAGAACAATATAATATTTAAAAATTGGATGTTATGAAACAGCATATTATAAGTAAAAACTCTAAACATCAAAGCCAAGTAAATTAACCAACATATACCTGTATTACCACAGCAATCACTTCAATGACTAAAATTCCTGAAGCAATGAAAAGGGGTATGAACATGCCACTACATGAAGCCATGGCAGCTAGGGCTCCACCTATCGCCAAGGATCCAGTATTACCCATTGTTACAGATGCTCTGTAGCGATTGTGCAAAAGAAAACCAACACAAGCACCTGCCATTGATGTTCCAAAAACGGAAACATCTAGTTTCAAGAGAAAAGTTCATGAGAAGCAGAATTGAATGGGTTATATTTTTAAATTCTAACGTAATTATATGTACATCAAAAAGTTTAATTTCCACAAAGGACAAGCTGACAGCAATGAGTTAATCATAAATGACAAGCTCATATAAGTTTATACAATATACACATGCGTCAAGCAATACTGCACTGGGAAAACCGTTACAAGGCTCTTAAGTAGGTGTAGAAATGGTAGTATTTGTATCCAAGTCACAACCAGTGAAACTCAAGTACTCTTTTTGTCTCAGAAGTAACAAACAATATACACATTACCATTTAATTTCATGAAAAGGAACTGACGTAAACAGCAAACAAAGCGATAAGGATATAACTTGCTCGCCACTAAGGCGATTTTGCTCAATACTTGGCAAACGTAAGGATATACTAAGTTCTATCAAATCCATAGCATTAACCACAATTAACTCCTCTTAGTAGATGTCTGTATTAAGTAATGGAGTACAAAAGGTTATAGGATGATTGTTTATGAAAGTCATAAAAGCATGTATAAAAGAGAATATAGAGTGAAATTTTATGGCCTATAAAAACTATAAAATAAAAATTAACCCTGTTGTTTAAGTTGAAAAGATTTGAATAGATTGAATTCTAGTAGACAAAATCCTCAAGTACCAAACAAATTGAAGCACATAATTGTTTTTAATGGGCCTAATCACCAAAGGAAATTGCTAGGTTTATTAGTGGATTGAACTTTAGCAATGTCAAAATGACTATATGGAGCATCAGATTAACCTTCAAAATTGACCTAGGTTAAGCAACTTTGGCTAAATTGTAGAAAATAGGCAAACTTGAGTTAATATTGGTTTTTCATCTAATGAAAAAAAATAACCCAAGAACAGAGAAAGTGGCAAAAGGATGCAGCCCAATTTACATCCAATGCAATAAGGCACAAACATTAACAAGACTCATGAAGGCTATTATATTATCTTGTGTATTTAGAATATAACATAACAACTTTAACTTAGTAATCTTATAGTTTTATTAATGGCCATAACTTATAATGATCTTACAAAAAAATTGGGAGCCTTCTGACATCTTTTATCACAAATTATAATGAATAAGAAAAAAAAAAAAGAAATTTAACAAGAATAATCCAACCTTCCCATCATTCTCTCAAAATAATCCAACCTTTGCTACCTTGGAGATCAGGTAAGTTTTTTTTTTTTTCCTTTTTTTTTATCTTATTCTATCCTCCTCCGATGAATTTTAAAGGGAGGAATGTTAGACATGTAGAAATGTATAGCAAGGGTTATTCATGTAATTATATATATGTACAAACGAATGCATATTTTGGTATCATTGGATGATCAAATGGTACCACTGAACATACAGTGATACTATATATGCACATAATCGTATTATTTATGCATTCAATTGTACTATATTTATGCATAAATAGTACCACTGATGATTCAATGGTACTATATGAACTTTTAGTGGAACAATCAGCATATGATCCCCCATCACGTGATACAATCCGACCAAAAAATAGGTGGGGTCTACCTACAGACCTCTCTCTTCCTATCTCTCTCCTCTTTTCTCTCTCTACCATGTGTTTTTAAAATATTTTAATCAATGTTTGTATTTAGAAATACATAACATTCCTCCATTTTCACTTTCTCATCCTCCTCCTATCTCCTTACTCTAACTCCCCCTTTCTCTCTTTCTCCTTCCTCTTTTCAATGCCTTCCATCTTCAAACATAACCACCCATCTTCTTCTTCCCTCGACCCCATAATCACAATCAACCCTCTCTGACCACCATAAGAAACTACAACCCACCCCTATCGCCACCCAATTTGGCCTTAAACCACCTCAAAACCCTAACTTATTGCAATACTAATGATAATAATGAAATCCAAACCCTTATAATTTGAAAAACTGCATATGAATTGAAAATGAAAATTACTCAATTGATTTTAAATTAATTTTAGAGTTATTTATTGATTTTTTTTTTTATTGATATGATTAATGTTGGGTTAAGATATTGGATTTTTTTCTTATTTGAACAAAGTGTGTGATTGTTTGCTGGTGTAGTTTAATTGTTGCTTCTATTAATTGTGAAGTTGATGTTAGAGATTTGATGTTGGTTCGTGATGCAAAGAAATAGTGGTTGTGGGTTGGTGGTGCAAGGAAGCGCGCATGCTAGTAGTGGCGATGCTCCATGCTCATGGTAATGATCGATGTAGGATTTGCCGATTTGGTGTGTGCTGGTTGCTTTGGTGTTGGGTAGGGATGGGTCATGGTCATGGTTGGGGATGGGGGTGGGGGTTGGCCGAGTGAGGATGGTTTTTTTTCCTCTGTGGGTGGTGGAAGTAGGGCGTGGTGGATGGTGTTAATGGTGACCATGGAAGTGGCGGTGGTGGATAGAGTTAACGGTGGCCATGAAAGGGGAGAGAGATGGGAGTAGGAAGGAGATGAGGGAGAAAGAAGAAAGCATTTTTTTTTTTTGGTTAATAGAGTTAAAAGATTAAAATAAAAAATTTCGCCAATAATTAAGTGACATGTGGATTGGCACCGGTTGTATTGGTAGGGTGACCTGCTAGGGTTGTTATGAGAAAATGGGTAGTAAAGGTTGGATTATTCAAAGGTGAGATTGTTTTGGAAGAATGGAGCAAAGGTTGACTTATTCTCGTTAAACTTTCCTAAAAAAAATCCAAGGAAAAAGAGCCAAAGGGTGCCTAATGTACATAAGGCTCTAATTTAGCCTACGACCCAAAATGCGCCTTGCACTTTTTCAACGGGAGGAGGCTAAGTGTTGGATTAAAGTGAAAAAAAAACTTCAGATAGTTAATAGAAATGAACAGGGAAGCAAAAAGGGAAATTCCAAATTATCTGATAGAGTCCTTAAGATAATGACCAATGAAAAGAATTAAGTGCTGCTAATGTATTTCATCTTTCGCATATTAGTTTTTACACTTACCTTTATTATTTGTCTCAAATTAGTTTTTATAATACTAATTTTGGAAAGACTTATTATTGTTTTAATATATATGTTTTTCCACTACGTAAAGTTAGAATCTTACATTCTCTCACACCCAATCAAAAAGATACTCCACTCTCCCATCACTGAGTATTCAATAAAAGTATATCCCACTATCTCCTTTAGTTGTCAATAAAAGAACAATAAATAATCATAAAACTAATGACCTGAAGGCTAAAAGAATGTGTGATGATAAGGGTACAAGCTGATCTAGGATGGAGGGACCAACTATTGACACCCAAAAGATACATGTACATAGTACAAAAGCCTCACACTAAGAAAACCACATGGAAAGAAAAGAAAGATATATAGGATCAAGCAGACCCAAAGGCATATACATCACTCCTTGAACCAAGGGGTTAAGGATCCAACGGAGGAAGATGCTTAAGTACTAGAAATTATGCAATTAAAAATAGTTGTCGCAACCAAGCATTAAAAGATGAACAACCCGACACCCTTTTCTTTAAAATTGCACTGCCTCATTGTTAAGATAGTAGCTTTACCTGCTACACAAACTTAGACTAATCTAATAAACACTACACAAGCATGAGGTGATATGAATTAGTCTCTCTTATGTCAGGATCAACTAAAACTACAGAACTAAACTGCTTACTCAACCAATTAACCAATTTGGGGTGAATAAGAATCACACCTACTCTCATGAAAATGCATCTCATAACCCCAAGTTTTTACGAAAACTCAAATTCTCAATAATCTCAACTCTTCAAAATACATAATTACAATCTATGGCATTTTATACAAGCAATATAAATTTTAAAGTAATTTAACAAAGATCTAATTGACACATCTATGTTACTCAGACTTGGGTACCCATGTTTGATATGAGTACGTTTCCAAGTATCTGACTCGGCTATTTTGTGAAAAAATTCTCAGATTTTGAAGTAAAATGAAATGTCCAAGTGGCATACCCATGTTCAAGTTTAACAATAGTACTTGAGGTAAAATGAAGATTCTGAGTAGCATTACATTAGAAACAGTTTCACCGGCATAATTTTTTTTAAGCAGTTAGTAGGTAGTGGACTTGTGGGAACCATTACTTCGATTGGTGAAAGGGGGGTTAAATTTCTTAATCATTATCATTGCTGGAAAAAATTGGGACCCATTTCATGAGAAAGATAATATAAAATTGATGAGAATATTCCTTTTTAGGAAAAAAAAAGTGTATCTAGTAAATAGGGATGACCCGATAAGGAAAGCGTGTTACCTAACTGGACTAGAATTAAGCATGGGAGTATCTTTTTTTCTACTCACAAAAAAATCCAATCCTTATAAAGGGACTAATAAAGCCGTGTAGGACTCCTCATAAAACATTAAAAAGATATGACTTATCATAAATATACTAAAATTAAGCTTTAGCTTCCTTGCATGCCAAGTTTCCTATACTATTTAACTACCCTTATAGTAAAATAGTCATAAAACTAATATAACCAACCCAAAATAACATATAATGAATTTGAGATTTGACCAAAGCTACTCAAATCCACATCACGAGACTTATGAGCTGACAAGGGCAGGATGCCAACGCGGTAGGGATGTTCTAATGAGGCTATTCAGCTAAACAAACCATGAAATGAAGCCTAGGCATATGCAGAAAACATCAAAAATCCCTGGAAATCTCGAGATTAAACAAGTCAAATACACTCTTAGACTTGTAAATATGATTTTAAAAACAGGAAGGGTTTAGTTAAGGAAACATTATTTAACTTGGCAAAAGGGAGGGAGGGAGGGAGACTAATAAACTTGTCTCCGCAATCTAGCAAAGGATTAATAAAGATTGACCTGATTCTCTGTGGTACTTAAATTAATATTAAAGAGAAAAAAAAAAGACTAGAGGCTAACATATGAGCAATAATTATTAATTGGAAAAAAAAGAGGAATGCATATTTGTTGGCATGATATAAATCTGTTCTTATTATTTACTCCGTAATTGATATAATAAGGCTCTGCTACAACATAAAATATGACTACTCACCAGAACAAATTGGAAGCACTGCTACAGACATTGCAACAAATGCCAATGCTGCAATACCTCCAGCAAATCCATCTAGTTCATCAATAATTTTATGACCACGGGTCATCAAAATAAATGTAAATACAGTCAGCAAGAGATAATATCCTCCCAGATTCAAAAGGCCAACAGGTGCAGGTAATGGGACCAGCATTTTCCTGCATCTCAGTGCAACAAACAGAAAAATAAATCAGTAGAATATGATAAAATAAAAGCATGATTTGCAAGAAAAGGCTTGTGACTAACATCTAATCACCAATGAGAACAAAAACGTCATATATGCTCACAAGCACGCCCCATTGCAAGAGAACTGTAATATTGACTCAGTAGCAAGAACGATCCTAATCGTTGTACAAAACTCGATATTCAAATTTTCTCAATAAAATCTCAATAATCATCAAAACAGCAACTTCAACAATAGCATACACATATACATTGTTTAAAGTTCTGACAATATTTCCAAATCATAAATTTATCAATTGTTCAATTCTTATAGGATGTGCTATCTTCCAAATAACTCATGCTTACTAGATCCTAGTTATACCAAATAGTGAATACCTACAAAATCCAAATTTTGTAAATGTCTTTAATTAAAAAAAACCATTATGTCGCTTGTATCTTGTGTAACTGATTCACCTCAAAAATCATGCCATGAAACTTTTGTAGAGTGGACAAACGGAGGGACGAAAAAAACCTTGCTCGGATCCATAAATGATCCAAAGAACTGCTTAGTCTCGAAACTTTTACAATCAGAAAATATTTAAATTGCCATCAGCTAAAAATTCATTAGACTAGAATGAGAAAGTATACATGCTGTAAGGTGATGATATATTTTGGGTGTACAGCCAAAATGAAAACCATGCTGCAACAGCCACCTGTGGAAGAAAATCATGTGAGCAACAGAAAACTCCAAAATGCAGAACAGCCAAACAAAAAGAGGACATTTATGATACTCCAATGAAAAACCAATTTTATTTTTTTTTAAAAAAAAGAAACATCTAAAGTATTCACCTCCAATAAAAGCTTTGTCCCTCTAGATAGTCCAAAATTACAAGGCTTTATAAGGCCTACTGTATCATCAAAAAGACCAATCACAGCATATGCCAGAGTCACTAATAAAATGCCGGTAAATTCAGTTGAAGAACCACCCATAAATTTCGCAACGGCAACCCCAATGGGTATGAAAAACACTCCACCAATGGTCGGCGTTCCCTTTTTAGAGTTATACTTGTAAGGCCATTTTCTTCGAAATTTCTGACGAATATTAAATATTTTAAGTATTGGAACAGAGACATAGCCTGCAAATGCTACTAAAGATGCAGAGGCTAAAAAAGGTGACAAAAAGTAAAAGGCATTTAAGGGTTGTCTAACAATGCGCCAAGCACGCCAGTCTACAAATGCCAGGCATATTGTCAAGAAGCTGATCAGTCCAAAATTGCTAACAAAGCCATATATAATCCTGCATCCAAAAGAAAGATCTATCAACATAAATGAGAAGCTTCAGGTCACAACCATTAAAAATAAATATATGATTTTAATTGTTTTCCTTAAGTCCTAGGGACATCCAAGCGCATTTAAAATAAAAAAACCCTGATAATCACTCAATCATTGACACTTGACAGTGCATTATAAACTGTCACTTCTTTGATCTCTCAACTTGTTAGCAGCCAACAGCTCCTTAAATGATGCTGTCCCCTAGCCAAATAGATACGGAATCCAATCTAAGTATGTCTACAAGATCCAAACAGAACATAACTTAGCTCATAGTAAAGCATTTTGATTCTATTTATTTATTTATTTATTTATTTATTTTTTCACAATCCTATTTCACAGAGTTTGATAAGAAAAACTTGTACTTAATGAGGCCATTGCATTTCTGTCATTCTATTCATATGGGTACAGTTGAGACTTTGGATTAAAAATGCTTTGGTGACATCTTGTCCTATCTCTGCAGGGAAACTCACAAAACATCCTAAAAAACAGAAAGCTATTGTGGTAAGAGAAACTGAATTTTATTCTTCAGTTGTGTGGCAACACCAAGTTATTCCTTAAGATGTATAGATAAGTTCATGAGGTTTATAAGGAAATAGAAGAATGAAATTCGGAATCATCTTTTACAAAAATTGAGATGGCAACAAATATATTGAATAAGTTGACCCGATTAATGGATGGGCCGTGACAAATTTTAGCAGCATAATCAATTATTATAATCTTCTGCCAAGAATAATGTCATGAACCCGGCCTAAGGGAAGATGCATTATAGGAAGCTCATAATATGTTTGTTAGGATTAGCTGAAGAGAAAGCATGCACTGAATTTTGCTCTATAAACAAGTAAAAATTATAAAGGAATATGCGCCTGAAAATGTTATTACTATCCAATTATGATCCTTTCCTTCCATTCCCTTGCAAAGGATTCATAATTACTCTATCAACTAGTTGATGAAAGGAATATGCGCCTGAATCACCTTCTTTGATTTCCATTTGCCATAATTTTCTACCCCTTGTACCCCCATACCCCAACCCATGCAACCTAGGGGTGAAAGTATTTGGACAAAAACCGAAAACCGATCCAAACCGAACCAAATTAGAAATTTGGTATCCTCTCGTATTTTAACCATTTGCAAGAGTCCATTGTAGAAGCACCTCTCTTCCTTTTAAGTTTTAACTTTCTCTCTTCTCTTTTTATGCTTTGCCTCCTTTTACTTGAGAGCTATGGGTTAATCTCTTAGAAAACCCTTATAAGAGCATTACTCGTCCTCTAGAGCGATCTAGAGGTTTAAATGGCTCGTCAATTGTTGCTAAAATTAACCGTGATTCCTACGAAAGTGAGTTAGTGTACATTCTCTTATTCTCTAGTTTTTCTCGTTTCTTGCTTGCTTAAATAATTTCATCATCTTCCTTTAAGTTTGATTTTGTTTTGCTCGAGGCAAGCAAAAGTCCAGCTTTGGGGGAATTTGATGAGTGTCATTTATGGCACTCTTAGGCTAGGTTTTCTTTGTAGTTTTATGCTCATTTTTAGTTTTTTATGTCGTGTTTTTACATAATAATGCTTGTTTTGCGTGTTTGTGTGTAAGTTTAGAGAAATGCGTGCTTTTGATTGTTTTCTTACTATTTTAATCATTTCTCGGTTATTTTTCTCGCTTCTTCGTTTCTTTGACTTGTTTTGTAGGTGTGTTGAGTTTCCCGGGGTTTAATTATCGAGGAGGAAGCTCGAGCGCATTCAAGGAAGTTGATGGAGCTAAGTTCAGGAATCCAAGCATGCAATTCAACCTAGCTCCACAAGCACAAGCACCATGGAAGCAATGTTTTGATCCGGAGTGTACAAGTGCTTGAAGAATTAAAGGCTGCCCTTCTCGCGGGCATCGTCTCGAGTGCACCGATGATAGGGATGCTCAGGAGCGCAGAGATCGTTCGAGCAAGCAAAGGAGGCCAGCCACGAGCACCACAGCAAGGGTGCGTGCGCACAGAGGCTTCTGTTTCCCTTCGCTCGATTTGCTATTTATAGCTTTTGACTTTTCTTTTTTTAGGGACACGACTTTATTTGTACTTGACTCTTATTTTCCAGAAATAGAAGAGAGAGAAAGTAGAAGCTTAGGATTACTTGATTGTACTTCAATTTGATCTATGATTTCAACTTGATCTTGGATTTCTTCTTCATTTGTGAGATTTCTTTCCTTTGAATTTACTTTTATTGCAATTTCCTTTAATTCTAGAATGTTTGATTTGAATTTTAATCTTTGTTTGAGAAATTGTTGAATGATTTAATTTCTTCTTGATTAAGCTTGAAATGAATATGTTTGTGATTCAATTTGTTTTGTTTTTCAATTTAACCCTGATTACTGAGTAGAATAGTTGCTAGGGAGAAGGGGAAGCATACTTGATTGATGATTTTTGTTAGTTGATGATCCTTGATAGATTGAACTGTTGCAATTAAATTGGTTGACATAGTTGTGCATGTGATTAATTAGACTAGGAGTGATCAACCTATAAGATTAATCTAGATTGCATTGCAAATATCAATGACATGAACCCTTGATTTGAGAATTGCTTAATTGATTGAATTTGATTGTGATTTTCCTTGTAAGCCATTCATAGTGAACCTTGGCTTATAGGAGATAGCTTTTGGATAACATTGGTTGCAACTATTGTTTGTCCTTTATAATGTTTGAACTGATGGATGGATCCATCAATTAGCATAATCATTGAGCTTGTATGTGGAACCTATATCCCTAGTTTTTAGCATATTGAATTTCTCGATTTATCTAGCTTTTTTATACCTTAGTTACCAACTATATCTTTCTACAATCTTCGAAGTAGCTTGACATAGGCTATAGCTTGTACCAACCCAATCCTTTGGGTTTGACCCTTGACTTACCATATACTCGTATTAGGTTTGTTGAGTGTTTATAAATTTCGTTTGATTCTAGGGAAGGGTAGAAAACGGCCTACATTTTCCCTACGTCATGTAGTCAATTTCTGAACTAGCCATTTTTCAGACAGTGAGAGAAGATAATCCTCATGGCTTCATCTATTGTACAAATATAGCAACAAATCCAAAAAATTTCACCATTTATACATCTGAATACCTTTCAAATAACTCAGAATAATCCTAACTTTGGAGTACAATGTTCATGTACAGATAGTAATTACAAGTGATCTTAGCTCTGTCCCATTGGTTAATGTTTTAGAAAATTGACTAAAGATTATCATTATATATATACAATACATAATCCTACATTCCTATGAGACATCGTTAGATTCGTCTCATTTTGTAGTGTAAAAATATCAACTTTTTATAACTTTTGCTAATATGTAATTAAACATATTAATTGCCAAAGGTGCATCTAGAAGATCATGCAAAAATAGACACTAGAATATGGGACGGAGGGAATGCATTTTTTTGGACATTTACTAGAAGTACAATCAGGTTTTAATAGCACATAAAACTATAGTAAGAAATAAGGAATACATCCCCTAAAAGTTAGATCTATTTTGAATTAATCCAAAGGTGGGATTAAGATGAATGAAAATTTAGATTTTCAATGTGAACCATGTCTATTTATAAATCGCTAATCTCTGGCTAACGAGATCTCCTACATGGTACTCCATGACAACAGTATCAATATGTCAAACACTCACATACTCAACCACTGTCAATCCCAACTGCGGCAACCCAAAAAAGGGAGTAAAAATATAGAAATGGTCCCTTCCTTATTTGCTCCAACAATTGCCTTTCAATTCCTTTGAAGTCACTTACAAAAAAAAATGCATTAATCTGTGTCCTCCTTACCAAGCCTTTGGATTTCTATCATGCCCTGAAGGCCTCATCATTTGTAATTCTATTTTCCTACAAGCTAAATTTACATATTTAAATCCAAAATTCCAAAACATTAAATGAAAAGGAAGCCCAAGAACAAAAAGACATAGATACCCCCTAGAGCCTAGGTTATATACAAAAATCATAAACTGAACCCGCCTTAACAGGCCCTCTCACTACATGGTGGTGGTGGTGGTTTTGTTATTACTTGGCCCAATCCTTCTCCTCCTGATAGAAGGGTATATTATTGGTGATTGATATAGAATGATACTAGGCTCTGTACCTGTCTTTTTTATGCATTCTCCCAAGCAAGGCAAGTCTAGAAGCTGTGGCAGTTAAAGCATCTTCTGCAGTAACAAACTGCCTTTTAACTCGTGGCATATCAACATCGTTCATGGGTGTCACCAGAATCTCCCCATCACTATCTTCTCCATCACTTGAGAAAATCATGTAGTCACTAGTGCCCTCATTGTTTCCCCAGTCATCAAATGAGGATATACCTACAGAATCCTAGAAAAAAATAAATGCAATTTATCAATGAAACACAAACTTTCAAAGGTGTCCTCTGCTATTGACCCTATAGTCATCAAGCCATACTAGCACCATTCAGAAGGACTTTGAAACGAAAGAGTGACACTAAATACCTCATCCATGGACCTAAGCTGAACCACATCATGCTTCAAATTGTATCCTTGCTTCCAAATACTAGTATCCCGTAACTGTTGATTAACAAAAGAAACTAGTATAATATACATGATCCTCACTTGGATAAAACACATGACAAGGCGATAATTTTGGATCTTAAGAATTTTTAATTTGAGGGCCATAAAATACATTACCAGAAGTACCGTGCAGGCGTGCATACACATCATGCACAGAATTATTTATGCATGATTTCTAAGATATGTTTTTGACCATTACTTTCTTTTATCCTTAATTTTTACAAATTATTAAATTTTTAAGAAATTTGATAGTACGCACCAATAAAAAAATCTACAAAATCCCATTTGAATCTTTTATCATACATATGTCGTATGACATAACTATCAGAAATTCCAGTCAAGGAAAATTTACTGTTAAACTTATAATAAAAAGGAAGAATATCACAAGTTGACTATTTATGATATTATAAAATTAGTAATTAGTGAAGTAACAATATTTTGATTAAAAAAAATAGAGCAGAAATTAAATTGTAGAATTGATTGCTACATGTCGTTTAATTGTTAATCTCTGAAGTTGATGTCATGATGGGGTTTTTGGGGCAGCTTCTCAAAGCAATGATGAGAGGTTGAGAGAGGTAAAGAATTATGCGGATTAGTGATTACTGTTGTGTCAGTCTATCAGTGATTAGTCAAGTAGCAGGCTCATTTTGAATCCAAAGTTAAAATCAAAGCATAAGAGGTAAAAACCATAAACTAAACCTTCAACCATAAGGTTACACTTTTAATTACATTAGCCTTTTGGCATGCATAGGTTGTATAAAGGAAATCCGGGAAAATATATACTCCCTCCGTTTCTTATATCTTGCAACAAAGGGGGTAGCACGGTTCCCAAGTCAAAACTTTTTAAGCATACTTAATAAAAAATAAGGGCATGTAAATGATGTAATTAAGGAGGAGAGAGGGTGAATAATTTATCCAACTAAAATAGCAATTAAGCAACCAAAGTCAAGCACCACCACTAATGAATGCACGCCACCCACAACCATCACCCAAACCACCGGTCTACCACCCAGACCCGTGCCACCAAACCCAGGAAACCATCAAAACCACCCCTGCGAAACCAACGACACCGCCAGATCTAGACCCACCGACACCACCAACACCAACTAAACCACCACCATAACCACCCAGATCACGCTCCCAAACCTAAGAAACCACCAAAACCCCTCATCTATCCCTACGAAACCACCAATACCACCGACACCACGACCAACAAATCCACCTAACGAAACCACCGACACCACCAAAACCACCAAACCCCCCCCCCAACGAAACCACCAAACCCACCAACGAAACCACCAAACCCACCCAGCACAAACCACCAACGACCCACAAAAAAGCAAAAAACCACCAATCCCGACAAACCACCAAATCCCCTACGAACGGTGAACCACCAAACCCAACACCACTGATGACCACCAAAGCCACTAACAATCAGAGTTGAAGAAAGTCTGACGAACTATTGATTTGATTATGAGAGATGAGAGATGAAGAAGATGAAATGAGAGATGGAGGAGAGAGAAAGATAGTGGGTTTGATTATTTGGGTGTGATTTCATAGATAAGTAATTTAGATTAGGATTATAATGGGTTGTAATTATGTGTAGCATTATGTGTTAACAATTTTTTAGTAAGGGTATATTAACAGCAAAAAGTTTCCAAATAAGGAAAATTATGAGTTTGTTGCAAGCAATGTGAATCACCCCAAAATGGCAAATGTTGCAAGAAATAAGAAACGGAGGGAGTATTATGAATTCTATTACTACGTGCAAAGTTAATTGTAGGGAAAGGAAAGGTGAACATTGAGATATATTCATAAAAGATACTCAGTTTTGAGTTATGGGAGATTTGAAAGAAACATCACTACAAATAAAGGGCCTGGTTTGACACTTGGGAACTTGGTGTTATTGGCCTGGTTTGAGTTTTTAACTAGGAAGATAGATTCATTCTCTTCCATGGTGTTAGAAAAGCAAGAACCAAAATCGTCTCTATACAATAGTCAATTGGTCACAACAAACAATCTTATCAAATCAATTCACATTCCACTATCGCTTATTTCCCCAAAAACTTCATCATTCTTCCAAAAACAAAACACTTGAATTATCCTAAATGGAGAGGCCAGAGACTACAGAAACATCAAAGTCTTAGTCTCAAAATGATTTGGAGTCGGCTAACATGAACCATCATACGCAATCTTCATAATGATGTGGAGAGGCCAGAGACTACAATAGCTTAAACATCTTCTCTTTCCTCACAATATCCTTTATGAATTTCTCTCCTCCTTCACTGACACTATGCTATTCCCAAAAGTTTAGCACCAAAGTTGTGAAGGCTGTATACATTAACATGTGCATTGCACGAGTTAAATACAAGTATTAGTTAAACTTAAAATCAAAGCCTCCAACAATCAACTGAACTTTTGATCAAATAACCTCTTTTACAACTTTAATTACCCCAAACAATTCGAATTCATCACACTTCTTGACTCGCCTTAAGTCGATACAATAACAAAATTTGGCATCGGAGCCACTAAGGTCATGACATAAATCAAATAATTGGTACATTGCACGAATTAAGACATCAAAACATAAATTAAACATCATACGGAGTAACAACCGATCAGGCGATCATCATTTTAAAACTTTTGCCTTTCCCGTTCATCGATCAGATAACTCATGGTATAAATCTCAGTAATACAAATAAATTAAACTAAAATATAATAAATTCTAAATGGAAAGGGAAAAAAAAAAAAACCATGTCTCAGTATATTATAATTTGCAACGCATTAAAATTATAACGGATGAAATTGAAACAGCAGATTGACATGCAATTAAATAAAATGGAATTCAAATATTCAAAACATTAGTGTACCTGACGACAACGGCAATGATTCGTAGAAAACAAAAGAGAATTAGTAATTCGTGGATAACTGCGAGATCGAAAAAGCGTCAAATCACGAGGAAATCGAAGAACTGTAGAAGAATGTAATTGCATGATTACTATGATTGAAATTGCAAAAATAAGAATAGAATTGAATTTGAAAATATAAAAAATGAGCGGGGTTTGTAGTTTGTTCAGGTTAAGTGGTTAGTTAAAAGGAAAGAAGAAGAAGAAGAAGAAGAAGAAGAAGAAGAATAGTAGGAAAATGGAGTCAAATAGAATGGAAAGGATTTTGGAAGGTGTAGTAGTTGGCCAGTAGCTTGTATTTTTGCACACTTTCCAACGTGCTCATGCTCTGCCTACGACGGTTTTTGGAGGGGACTTGTTATTCATCGCCCGCAAATCTCTACATAAAGCCCACATTTTATAATTTTTTGACAAATTTGCCCTTTTTATAATTTTAACCGAAGATAAATTTTTCGCACTAAAAAAATGTGGAGCAGCACCGGATTGCCGAGGATCACCGGAGAATCGCCGTCGTCATCGGAAAACGAGGTTCGTAACGCATCGTAAGGACGAAATGGTGGCTGGCGCCTAGCCAAAAGGCCATGCCGTGGTTGTGGCGCCTAGCCAGGACGCCGCCACCGTGGTAACGGCGCCTGGTGGAGAAGCCTCGACCATAGTAGTGGCGCGTGGCCAGGACGCCGGAGCCACGGCCAGGGCGCCTGGCCAGGACGCCGCCACCATGGCGGCGGCGGCCTGACCAGGCGCCCCGGCCGTGGCTCCGGCGTCCTGACCAGGCGCCCAGGCCGTGGCTCCGGCGTCCTGGCCAGGCGCCACTAGGGGAATATATTTTTTTTTTTTTTTTTTTTTTATTTTTTAATTTAATCCCCTTTTTTTTTTTTTTTTTGTTTTTATTAATTTAATCTTAATGTAATTATATTTATACGTTATATGTTATTGTTACAGGATTATGGTGGAGACGGAAATGATTACAGTGGGATTTTTGTACATGATGGCCTGTTCGAAGATGCTCAACAAGCGATTGATTGGGCAAAACAGGTTGCAATTAGATCAGGCTTTTGTTTAGTAGTAGCAACTCATAAATCTCAACGGGATGGTAGAATGGATCGCATTTTGAGATGCGACCGTTATCGCAAAAGAGAAGAACGAGATTTCAGTAAAGCGATTCGGTTTGACTCAAAGCGGAAAGGTTGTGGGTGTCAGTTCCGAGTTAAGGTTCGACAACATCAAAGGCGTGACGGTTGGGAAGTGAAGGGTTACGGCAAATGGGGATATCACAACCATGAGCTGATAGCATACAAAGTGGGGCATCGGCAGTTAAGCGGCCTAAGTCCAGCTGCGAAACTAGTTGTAAAAGAAATGAGTGATGCTCAAGTGAAGCCCGCTAAAATATTAGCGTCTGTGTTAGAGAAATTCCCCGAAGACCAGCCAAACCGAAGACACATCTACAACGTCAGACAGAAATTGAGGTTTGAACGGTCAGAGGGAAGGAACCCTATACAGCAGCTTCTGCACCAGGCACAAGCACGTGGTTACCTTTACTGGTTTGAATCTGACGAAGACACATCGGAGGTAACTCATTTGTTCCTTGTCCATCCTGATTGTGCTGATATGATTTCGTCTTGGCCATCTGTGATTTTGATCGATTCAACGTACAAGACAAACAAGTACAAGTTCCCACTGGTTGAGATGGTTGGGATGGCTCCAACGAACCAGAACTTTCTGATTGGTTATGCAGTCATGAAGGATGAGACGGCTGCGAGTTACCGTTGGGTGTTGGAAAAGTTGAGAAACTACATCGGCCCAAATGTACAGCCATCGGCCATCGTAAGTGATTGTGAGGGAGGTCTTTTTGCCCCTATAGCGGAGCTGTTTCCGGAGTCGAGCCATTTACTGTGCACATGGCACATCAACAACTGCGTGAAAGTCAAAGCCTACAATCTTTTCAACAAGAATTTAGTAACAGCAGAGACATTGGTAAATGGTAAGTGGCGGAAGATCATGCAAGCTACCACAGAGGCAGAGTACGATCGAGCCTGTTACATAGTCGAGCCTGTTATCCATGTACAACGGTTCTGCCCTGGTGTTCGCGCGAGACCGTCACCAGACCGGTAAGGGACGTTGCTATTGGATTTCTTGGGCCGTCATACAGACATTTTATCCGATTAGACATGTCACCCGATTTTCCGGTCCCACATATCATACCGAAGTGGTATGAAATTCGTAGAGCAAGCGTGGAGGGTTGGGATGCTTTGTACCATGCTCGCGTGCAACAGTGGAACAATTTAATTGCCATGTAGTTTTTGTTGATGTACACCTACCTTTTACTATGAGGCCTTGTATTGTCAATACTATGTCATTTCTATGTGTTCATTTTTAAAAGATAATGTTTCATTTTAAAAACTAACAACAATAATTTCACAATATTACAAACTAAAAAGATAATATTGAATTTTAAAAACTAAGAACAATAATTTCAAATATTACAAACTAAAAAGATAATGTCTAATTTCAAATATCAGTAATCCCTCTGTGACGCCCACTGCCACTGCTCAAGGGTCCGTTCCAGATCGTCAATAACAGCTCTGCCTGATGCACTCGTCATGCAGTCCCTTTCCTCAAAAAGTCGGTGTCCCAACTGCATAATCTTGCCCATCCACTACACAAAACAAAAAACATGAAACGACGTATTATACATATATATATTAAAATAAGAGAACAACAAATAAAAGATGAGACGTACCGCATAAGAGGCAGTGGCAGGTGGCACATCGTCATCATCTGCGTCGTCGATGTCTTTGATCAACCTCGGGTGCGAGTGCCGGATGTACCATTCCATGTAGTGCTGGTCACACATGGCAGTCACCCCACTTGGCGGCCGCTGCAGCTCCGCCGTCCATAGGCGGGCAACCATCGGAAACTGCTCCCACATGGATATCATGTTTGCCGGCCATTGGACGACGTACTCCTTCGACGACGCAGATCGTACCGCCTTACTGGGCCATGCCGGTGGAGGTGGGACAACTTGGACAAATCCAAGCTGGCGAAGACAGCGCTGCGGCATGTACGCCTCTACGATCTCGCGATACTGAATCAGTCCGGTGTAGAGGGTCCTGGGTACCCTATTACTAGGGTTCTGGCCGAAAGGCATCCAGTTCACCTGCACATTATTTAAAATCAGTAACAGTCATAAAATAAAGCATCAGATTGTAAAAGTAGAAATAATTTAATCACTGTACCTCTAAGGGGGACATCCTGTCAAGCGATAACCGTATGGAGCGCAGGCGGTCAACGGACTTCTTCTCGACACGCGGACTCCACGCACAGGCACGTGGCTGGCCATCACCAATGGGAACCGGGTCGCGGTGTGGTCGAAACGCAGGAAAATACTCGTATATCCAGGTCTGTAACAACGTCAGACATCCAGTGATACCTGCTGCATCAGCCCGGCTCGAGAATCCTAACTGGCGATACAGATACGCCAGCGTAGCCGACCCCCAAGAAAACTGGCCTACTCTGTCGGGCTCACACGCGTCAACTATGTCGCGTGGCCTGAGCTTGTTCCCGCTCTTATCCGGAAACAAGGTACACCCGAGAAGAAGAAAAACATATGCAGCCAGCTGTGTGTCCTGCGTCCTACGTGCCGTAGGGTGCAAACATCGCTGCAAGACGGCTGCGATCTTAACGCCGCCGTGATCCCACACACCAAGTGCCGATGTGTACAGCGCAGCCCTATCCACCGCCAACAGCTCCGCTAGTAAATCTGCCTGATCCGCATCAGTGACGACAGATGCTCGGTTTCCCTCCACGGGAATCCCAAGGATGGCCTCGACGTCATGCAACATGATCGTCATCTCACCGAACGGAAGGTGGAACGAGTTCGTATCCGGCTGCCATCGCTCAACGAAAGCCGTGATCAGCGTCCAGTCAATCCTGTCGTGCATGGTGGCAGGAAGGTGACTCACTCTAGTGCCCCTCAATCGCCCGACCATCTCGCTCTCCTCCGGCCAAGCATCAGCCCAGCTACACAAAAACCTACAAGTCTTTTCCCGGGTTTGGCATTTCAAAATGCCTGTATCCAAAGCCCTCTCCTGGTCTAACGTGTCTGGGCCCCGAGCTCTCCATTGAGTAGATCGTACTCCTCACGACGTCAATACTCTTCCCCGCACCAGGTCTAAATTGTGATGCCTAACTCCAAGTAAATAACGAAACATAATAACGAAAACAAATTAAAAAAAGTCGAAAATAAACACAAAAGCAAATAAACAAGTCACGGAAATAAAATTATAAACATAAAAAATATAAATATATACAAGACAATATACATATAAACATAAGAAATATAAACATAAACATATACCAAAAACAAAAAATATAAACTACAAACAAAAAAAAACAAACATAAACAAAAACAAAAACAAAAAATATTACCAAAAACAAAAAATATAAATACAAAAAAGGACGAAAATAAACACAAAAGCAAATAAACAAGTAACGGAAATAAAATTATAAACATAAAAAATAAAAATATAAACAACACAATATAAATAAAAACATAAAAAATATAAATATAAACATAAAAAAATATAAATATGAACAAAACAATATACCAAAAACAAAATATATAACCAAAAACAAAAAATATAAACAACAAACTAAAAAATGAAAAACATAAACAAAAACAAAAAATCAAAAATGCAAAGAAAAAACCAAAAACAAAAAACTAACAAAACTTAAAAAATTTAAAATTGCAAAAACTTAAAAAAAGAAGAACATCAAAATTTTAAAGAAAATTTATAAAAAAAAAAAGGGAACTTATAATTTTTTTACATACAAAAATATAATTCAAAAAAAAAAAAATACATAGGAACATAAAATTAAAAATTAAAACCAGATACAATTTTTTTTTTTTTAAAAAAAATAGAACATAAAATTAAAACGAATAAAAAAACAAAATTTAA